GGGCTACGCTTTTGCTGTTGTTGGTTAGAATTTCTCTTAGATGGCTCTAAACAAGGAAAACCCAGACTCTGAGGCGAACGAACCGTCTGCTCTCTCTGACCCTATACCCTGCATGATATGACTGCCTCTAACATGGTACGGCCTCCAACCCAGACTCACCTTAACACTGTCGAGTACCATTTTACTGGTTAGTGTTCATCCCCTTGCACGTTTCTCACAGTGGCTGTTCTAATCTTTCAACATCACTCAATTTTATGACTCCATGACATTCATTCACTTCACTCTTAACGGACAACTATGCTTCCTGTTTCACAGAAAACAGACCATCACGGCTCAGATAATGATGTCATATGTGTTGCGTCCCTTATGTACAAGGTAGTGCTTTTATTACTTTTACAAATGGTCTCATTAATGTTAACATCCCCTATATGTAAACTTATCATTCCCTCCTTTTAAGAAGATATAAAGCCTTAGAGAGGGTTCAAACTTAGATCTAAGGAACCACTGAGCCTTTGTTCTGTTTATTACTTGATGCTCCCTCTAGAAAACAGAACATATCAAAACAAAAATTAATCCAAATCCAACCTTTTTCTGATCTGCTGTAGACATCTTTTAATAAGAAGAAAAAAACTTAAAGTTTAGAAATCCTTTGACAAGGTAAAAACAGAACAGAAATTGCATTTAGGTGTACCTGATATGGATATATTTCTGCAAGCAGATACTAGTGAGGGTGGGAATGTGAGGGTGAGGGGCAGGATGGGGAGAGAATGGGATGGCGGTGAGCTACTAGGCAGGCCCCAACAGGGAAAAAGAGGAAACTTGGGGGAACAAAATGCAAAAATTGATGCTTCACAATTTTACATAGTATTGGCTCTGTCTGTCAATAATTGATTGTGCACGACTATTTAGGGAAAAAGACAGAAAGAACCAAGGCATTGTCTTTGAAAACAGAGCAATGGCAGAAAAATGAAGAGAATGACCATGTTAAAGGTAATATATTAGAGGCTGTCTTAGTTTTTCTAAATGTGGCCTGTCATCTCAATTAGTATCTTTGCCCAAGTATTAGCTGAGATTTTATTATAGCAACAAAACCAAACATTCATTTGGATTATGGTGATAGCCCCGGGGAGGGGGGGGGGATGTCCTTAGCTTTTAAATGTAAACTGGACCAAATTTAAGGACAACACTGTTTGGTTTCCACCCCTTTCATTAACTTGATGAATTGTGGAACCGTTCATTGTCTAGTGGTTCAAGTAAGAAAAAAAATTATATTTAAATGAATACTTGGCATGTGGTTCCACAAACTAATATGACCTGGAGTCATTTTAAAAACCTCATGTTTTCACAGCAGAAGTGGCGTCTTTCTGTGGACCAGACCCAGTTCCAATTTCTCATTTAGCTCTTGACTTAAATTGAGTAAGTCCCTCTTGGAGGTAGACTGCTCGGTTGTGTGTCTCTGGAATAGATTTCCAGGATCTAAATGTTCTCAGTTAATGAGATGCCTTCTTATTATTGCTTATAAATTCACTAGTACTTTTCTGAGAGTCTATATATAAAATTTGTGTTAAGTGTGTATTCACCCATAGAATAACTTGAGTAGCTATTTTCTCATTAAAACAAACTGTGACCTAATGTATTACAGTAGTTTTATTCCAGAGGGTTACTTCTGGTCAATGGAAATCTTAGTGCTTTTTTTTTTCACATTTAGTTTTATATAAACCAATTGTTTAATTATAAGCTTGTTTATAGATTATTTGTTCTACTATGTATAGTCCTAATTAGAAAATATATAAAATCAATTGTCAATAAAGTGTGAGTCAGCAATGTGACTCTTTAAGGAGTATAAATGTGAGGTATGGAGATTTTATGAAAAGGTGTCTCTTTTGCTGTTCTCTCAGTAAGCATCTGTTTTGCTTTGTGTGACTATTTCTCCTGGTTTTTCTGAAACACAGAAGCAAAGTAAAGCTGACTGAAAAGGATTAATCCTGTGTCCAGGGAAGAAACTTAAACTAATTGTTGCATCAGGGATTAAACCCATGACCTAGGCCTCATCCTATCAAATTCTAACCAACTGAGCCAAGTAATAAGGAAGAAACCTCTGAGAGAAACCTGATGTCAAGTATAAAGCAATAAATGATAGTATGTCACCTCAGCATCACTTCTTCTATTGTCACCACTAACCAAATGAAAGTTGGAAACCATTTTTTGGGGGAGAAGCTTCTGATATACCTTATAAAGTTAGAACATTCTTTAGGATTCTGCAGCATGCATTTAATGCCATGATGAACTCAAAGAGAATGACAGTACTCTCTGGACTTAATGAAATAACTACTAGTACATTCAAAACGGGAGGAAAGATTTCTTTTCTACCTTATGTCACAATGAGAAAATGTTGCAAGATGTTGGAACTATTACCCTCGTCATTCACTTCCAGAGAGAAAGTGAAACTTGACTTCCTAATGACCCATCTTCCTGGGCATATCAGAAATGTGTTATTCATTCATCCATTCATTCTTTTAATTAAAAATATTTATTGAGTTGCTTCCCTGTGGCAGAAATTGTCATTGTCAGTGTAGATACAGAGATGACCAAGGCAGACAAGGCCTGCTTCCCATGAAGCCTATATTACAGAAGAGGAATATAGTCAATAAACACATAAGCAAATACATGAGCAAGAATTGATCATTAAATGCTAATAGTACACGATTTCTCAAATTTCAAAAATATCTTCTCTTAGGGGCACAAAGTGTTAAAAATTATAAGTAAGTTGATGTGGATGTGATCTGTTGGATGGAGTGAGATGAAAGCTCTCTACAATACTGTAATTGAAATACTCACATTTTTTTAAAAATTAAAGTTTATTGGGGTGACAATGGTTAGTAAAGTTACAGAGGTTTCAGGTGGACAATTCTGTAATACATCATCTACATATCACATTGTGTGTTTGCCACCCAGAGTCAGTTCTCCTTCTGTCACCATATATCTGACCCTGTTTACCCTCATCTACCACCCCCTCCTGTTCCCCGGCTGGTAACCACTAAACTCACATTTTTGCAGTTTTCCTTAAGGAGTTTGGTTTTGAAATCACATATACTTGCATTTTAATCCTACCTCTTCTGCTTGTTAGTGCTATGAACTTAAGAAAGTTTTAAAATCTTTTTGTCAGTTTCCTGGTCTGTAAAATGATGCAGCTTTGCTGTATTAAATAGTACAACATAAGTAAAACACATGGCACTTAGCAGGTACTCAGGAAATATTAGTTCTCCTTTCCTGTGTGTGTGTTTTAGGGGGAGATAAAGTGTTCTGTCTTACAATAAGCCAGTGTAACTTATTTTTACCTTTAGGTATACAAACTTTAGAAGCGCAGTAAAAAATGTGAGCTATGTTCCTTTGTAGAATGAATTTATTAAAATGCGTATAATCCCTTCAAGAACACTGTAGCCTGTAAACATCAAGGTAGCTGCATGATAACCCTGCTTTTCAAGATAAAATGAACATTCTGTACATCATATTTAACTTTTCACTGGTGATTTCTAACAGTTTCTCTGAAGATATTTTTCTTCTAACTTTGCAGAGTTGAGGAGCAGAGAAGACAATAGGTAAAGGGGAGCACTGCGTATTTAACTTAAAATTTTTCATCTCTGTGCTCTCATCTACGCATTCCTTTGTCAGGTAGAGCTTTGGTATTTGAAAAGCAAAGGCATCAAGTTTCTTGGCGCTCTGTAGCCTGAAACATTTATCAAAATACATCCCAGGAGCCAGCACCAGCCTTTGGAGATTAGAAGAATGCTGTGCATGTGGCCAGGGGTGTGAGACGGGAGATGATTGCCCCCGAGGGAACTGTTTTCTGGAGATTTCTGTGCTGCAGCTTGGCTGTCTCTATTAGTAACAAAAGATTTGCCTTCCTCAGCCCTAGGCATCTGGCTCCAACCCCAGATGCTGGTCTGAGGCCAGACTGAGATACAGAAAAAAAATATCTGGGTGTTTTAGATTCCACAGTGCTTTAGTTTGGTGACAATAATAGTAATGATAATTGCATTCGTTATTATAACTGTAAATACCAGGGGTGCCAAAAGGGGGCACTTTGGTCAACGTTGCTCAAGCAGTAATTCGCCATAATCAGAAGTGTCTGGACACTGATGGTAACCACTTTGAGCACCTCTTGCAATTGCAGAACTCAAACGTGACTTGTATTCATCTTTTGTTATCAGCATATATTATTACAATTTTAATACAGTTTTTTCCATTCTTAAAATGCATATACATTTTTTTGCAGCCTCTGTATTATATATTTAATATTTATATATAAATTATACATAGTATAATTTAATACATAATTATTGTATTAAATAAAATAATTATTTCTATAATAACAAGCATTATAGAAATAATATTTTGGTGTACTTATTGCAAATTTCACACACATCACCTCGTTGAAATTTCAACCCAAATGTTTTGATTCAGGTGCTGTTATTTTCCCATTTCACAGAAGAGGAAATTGAGACACAGTTAAGTGACGTAACTTGCCCCAAGTCACCTAGCAGATAAATGAAGAAGCTGAGAAAGGAGCCCAGGCAGTAAAACTCTGACGTCTATGTTTTCTCTCACACTCATGGAAAAATCTATATTCAGCTTCATTTTCTATTGATGAACCAATGGCGCGAAGTATCAACATAATCAGCTGTGATCAGTGATGCCAAAATGACAACATGTGCCTTCCCCAGAAGAAACAGAGGGAAAGTACCTCTCCTTTCTGTCCTAGCTAGCTGGTGCAGCGTGCTTGCATGGGTTTTTAATTGAATTAGCAAATGCAGTAAATCAGTTGAGTAGAAAGGAAGATGCATTCATGATTTGGAGAAAAAATTTATAGCTTTGGATTGTTGAAGTCAAAATAGCTGTGTTTTATTATTCTTTTTTGATGTCAAGTCATATTTTAGGCCTTGTTGTTTTTTCTTTTACAAGTAAATGACCTCGTGGCCATGTTCCTTTTGTGCTCATAGACCCAAAGCCCAGATGATTTCTGCCATAACCTTCTCAACCTTTGGATGTTTTCTCAGCCAATCACTGAGCTCAACTCTGAAGAAGTTATTCAGGCTCATTTACTACCAGACTCCAAGGTGAGAGTTTGCACTTTTTGGTTTTTGTTTATAAAAGTTTTATCCAAAATAATGCCCTGTGTTCCAGAAAACCTAAGACGGGGTCATTGTTTACTTCTAAGGACTCACACTAGGTGGAATTTTCTCCTGAGGTCACATGCAATGTAAGAATTGTCAAAAGCTAAGGTGACAGGTCACAGGCTTGACAGCCTCTTTCAAAGGTATCACCTACAGCAACAAAGGCCTAGTCCTATTTTTGAAAAAGCAGGACCATGAGGTTTTTGGACCATGAGGTTAAACACCCCTTAGCCATCCTTTCTGGTTTACTGTCATCTTCTGCTGGTTTTAATGTATTTCCACACTTGTTATGAATCAGGAACTCTGGGAATTCAAAGCCCAAATTGACTTATTGGCTTAATATTGTGGAGTACTCAAGTTAATTCGGTGCTTTCCAACCTGCTTCATCCCTCAGTATATCTGTAAATTTGTTTTAATGTGATATTTGTCTGGGAAATGTGACTAAAGGATGGAGGAAAGAATGAAAAAGGGAAACTAGCTTGAGTCCTATTCTTTTTTTTTTTTTTTTTGCATCTTTGCTTAAAAGTGATGTACTCCTGCCCACATAGCTTAGCATCTAGTGGTGGAGATACACCATCAGTTACAATAAAGTGTGATAAACGGCAAAATAGGGATATGAGGCTTTTTTTTTAAGGCTTGAACAATTTAATTTGTTTTTGGGATTCAATTAATATCTGTTTTCAAAGGAAAGAATTAAGAGTAATGGTTTGAGATGTAAATTGCAGACTTTGGCCAGGTTGGAGTAGTTTAATAGTGAACACTCTGCAAAGTAGTGAGCTTCTTGTCACTGGTAGCAATCAAATAGATACCTGTGATTCAGGATATTTCAGCTGGGAAAAACCATTGGAGCTGATGCTTATGAGGTTTCCAATCTGGAAATCCTGTGATTTTATTAGTTAAGTGTTAACATTGAGCAGCTCTTGGTCTCCAGGAGAAGACTAGGACCTGAAGTCTGCACATCTTTACTGGCAGTGCTTAAGTAGGAATTAAGGACAATAAAACAGGTGTGAAGACCTCTTACTTTTACATTAGCATGCTATATATTACCTCAGTTTTGAACATTAGAGACTAGGGGTGGCTTACTATAATTGAAATTCCCCTAGGGAAAGCAAACCAAGGCCTCTCCCAGCATAATAAAGAGGTGTTATAGAACAGAAAGAGTTTGTCTACCCTGTACTGGCGGAGCCAAACACTAAATGCCGAATTGCAGCAGAGAAGGATTGGCTATTTTATGAGATCTGACAATTAAGTTCGAGAATTCATCCTAGAAAAGCTACATACCCCATTGCTGAATATCACTATGGTCACCTTCAAAGTACTCCCCTTGGGAAGCTATGTACTGATGCCAGCACCTAGTCCACCCTTCAAAGCAATTTTGGAACTCTTTTTCTGGAATGGCCATCAGAGTTGTTGTCGTATTACCCTTGATGTTCTGAATGTCATCAAAATGTCTTTCTTTCAATATTTCTTTTATTTTCAGGTAAAGAAAGACGTCATTGGAGGGCAGATCAGGTGAGTAGGGAGGGTGTTCCAATACAGTTATTTGTTTACTGGCTAAAAACTCCCTCACAGACAGTGCNGTGTGAGCTGGTGCATTGTCGTGATGCAAGTGCCACAAATTGTTGATGAAAAGCTCAGGTCGTTTTCATCTAACTTTTTCATGCAGCCTTTTTAGCACTTCCAAATAGTAAACTTGGTTAACTGTCTGTCCAGTTGGTACAAATTCATAATGAATAATCCCTCTGATATAAAAAAAGGTTAGGAACATCGTTTTGACTCTTGATTTGGATTGACAGAAATTTTTGGTCATGGAGAATAGGCTGACTTCCATTGTGCACTTTGATGCTTTGTTTCAGGATCATATTGGTACACCCATGTTTCACAACCAGTAATAACACAGCCCAAAACATCGTCTTGCCTCTCCAAAAGGTCTTGGCAAACTTTGACTCTCCTTTGCTTTTGTTTGTTGGTGAGCTCCTTCGGGACCATTTTTGTACACACCTTTCTCCTGTCAAGATTTTCCTAACTGTTTCTCTATTGATGTTGACTTGGTCTTCTATGCTTCTCATAGTCAGCAGGCTATTTTGACGTACAATTCAATGGATTTTTGCAATGTTTTCATCAGTTCTGCTCAGTATCAGCCACCCTGACCCCTCTTCATCAGTGACACATTCTCTCCCCTCAGAAAAACGTTTAATCCATTTGTACACTGCCGTCTTCTTCATGGCATGATCCCCATAAACCTAGACTAACATGTTCCTGATTTTCCTTCCACTCTTACCAAGTTTAATAAAAAATTTAATGTTTGTGCATTGCTCTAATTCAAGCTCAGACATTCTTGCGACGGCACACAAAAACACACAACAATAATGAATGCCACTCAGCAAGACACCACCACAAGTCGACATGAACACAGCTGTGAGACACTGATATACCAAGGTTATGAAACCTTACCGAGCTGTTTGTACAGGTGCTGCCAATGTAAGTGCATGGGAGCGAGTTCGCAAACTTAATTGTCATACCTTGTACAAGAGTTCCCTTTCTTCCACCTTCTCTCCAATGCTTGTTGTTTCTTGTCTTTTTAATAATTGCCATTCTAACAGGTATGAGGTGATGTCTCATTGTGGTTTTGATTTGCATTTCCCTCATAACCAGTGATGCTGACTATCTTTTCATGTGCCTGTTGGCCATCTGTTGTCTTCCTTGGAAAATGTCTATTCAGACCCTCTGCTCATTTTTTAAAAATTAGATTATTTGTTTTTTTGTTGTTGTTGAGTTGTATGTGTTCTTGATATATTTTTGATATTAACCCCTCATTGGAAATATAGATTGCAAATACCTTCTCCCATTTGGTTGGTTGCCCTTTTGATTTGTTGATGGTTTCCTTGATTTATTTTCTACATATGCTTCTGCTTTAGGGAATTAGCCTTTTGCTGCAGCTGCAGGAAAACCCCTCCTCATTATATAAGTCAGGCTGGGAAGGTTGCGGGGGGAGTTGATTGTCAACCCCAAAGTAAAAACTCAAGTGCTTAAATAGAATGTTTGGCAGCATTAACTACATTTATGTTAACTTTGAGAACTTTTTGTGAATCATTCATAGATACTTTCTGAATCACCTGCAAAAGAATCTTTTTGGAAGAAATATGTAGCATGAATGGCAGTTTTACCTTCCTGATGTTAATACTACTCCCACAGAAACAGTTTTACATTCCACTGTACCCCGAGGGATCAGAAAATATCCCCTTTCTCGTGTGTGTGCATGCACTTGGAGACAGTAAGTTTGCTCTGAAAGGGTTTTGCACGGAGTTGCCCTGGCTACAGCAAAAGCATTTTCAATCAACAAATATCTGTGGAGTATTGTTTTAGGCTTTATGAGGAAGGTAGAGTTTCTGTCCTCAAGAAGCTTACAATGTATTTTAGTAGAAAGAGATTCAAATGAAAAATAGTTTGTATTGCCAATGAGTGCTCTCAGACTTGGGAGAAGGTTTTTAGCCTCTGTGAACTCATGTGTGTTATCAGTGTTTTACACAGATGCCATTTTAATTGTTTCCTAATTAGTCCATGAATTCCTTAAGGACAGGACTAGCGCTTTGTAGGTCTTTATATCCCCTACGGCTTCTTGTACACATTCATTGAGTGATGTTTAAGATCTTGGAGAAATTACTTTCCTTTCTTTGTGAATTGTTTTTTCCTATTGTTCAATGTCTCAGGAATTCTTTAAGACAACATGATTATCCCCCGTACTGTAGCTTATTCCTTCAATAAGCGAGATATCAATTTTCTTACCATAAATTGATGGTATGGCATTATCTAATTAGAGACTCTTATGAAGGAAATTAACTTTGGATAGTCATTTACTCATCCCTGTCCCAAAGCAGAAGTGTGACATGTTCCCACCTGTGTGTAAATGTCTAGCTACTACATTGTTTTGTATACCTGAAACTAATAATAATAATAATAAAGTCAATCTAGCAATCAAAAGGAATTTTAAACTATGCCTGACTCTCTTGAAGACTAATAAAATGAGCCTGTTTTATAACCTAAAAAAAAAAAAAAACTAAACTAAAAAAAGGCTGGTGATATTTTGCTCATGTCTTCAATAAAGGGCAGCATATGAGGGTGGTCTCAGACTTTGCTATTCACTATTGGTAGAGTTGAAGCAAGATCTCTTGTCTGTCAGGGCTAAAGTCACAAATAAGCTGAGCCATTTAAGATTGGATCAAAATGAACAAACCATCCCACAAAGCAGTTCAAATCAGCAGCCTTTAGTGTTCCAAAGTCTCAACAGACAGTAAGCCATTCCAAAATAACAAAACGTTATAAAGAAAAGAGAGAGGCACTGAGGAGATAGGCAGGCTTAGTTACATTTCCCTCGAAGTCCTCCTGCCCCTTCATTTTTATCTCTTGCCATGGCTATCCAGAATTGTATGCCAATAAGCTTTTTAATGTCATTTCCACAATATCATCGTTACAGTAGGATTAGGGAGCCAGGGGCTCGGATTTCATTTCTAAAATTAGAAAAGACTTTTATTATAGATTAAGCAAACTTGTTTCTATGTAGCTCTTAGATATAGTGCCAGAATACTATTTCAGCCAATAAATATTTATCCCTTTTAAAATTTGACATAAGCTATGGCATAATATGATTCTTCCAAGAGAATTCAGGAAGTAGATTGTCCAGAGAAGTCCTCCTGACTATTATAAATTTCTGATTGTGTATGGTCAGCATTCACAGGATATACGTTGGGCCCATGTGGAAGAAATCTATTCTGTCAACATCTCTTGAGATACTGTGACTGTTCATGCTATAGGTAATGAATCAATCATAGGTATATAAGTTGTTCAGGTGGTAGATTCATATTTCTGATTTATGAGTTAATAAATTGTCATTCCCCTATATAGGAGGAAATGGTAGCTGTTTGAACAGAAAAATGAAAACAAACAAAAAAAACTTAAAATGTCATATGGTATCTCCTATTTTAGTGTCAGTTGGGAAAAATTAAGAAATCCAGTTTGGCTAAAATGCGCCTGTTGATAGCCCTCTAAATATTACTATAAAAATAAACTGTCTGGAGGCAACACCAATGGACCATGGAGATGATTCCCAGTCTTCGAACAATGACAGAGCTCAGGAGAGTGAGAAAAAGTCTTTCATCATCCTGCCCCTGACTGGGGCACCAGCTCCTGACCTCAGCAGAAAAGCAGTTTGTTCCCAGATGTGGAATGATAGGGTGACAGGTGATGCTACAAATTCGTCTCTTTCAGAGCTCTATTCAGGGGCTTGTGGTTTTAGCTGTCGATGGAGAAGTTCTTACCAGGCTAAATTTTCTGATGATATCAACTATAAAAACTAGATAAAATACAAGATGAGCAAACAAACAAAGATCTTTATGGAGTCACTGGAGAACAATCTAGACAACTAGGACTTGAGGGGCTAAGATCCCATAGAGAAAGAAAGTATATTGAGGTGAGTTCTACCTTTATTGGTGCTTTATCCTTTGGGACATGGCACATAGGTTGAAAAGAAAAAGCAGCATCTTTGAGTTCTGGTAGCTTTACTGGGAAAAGGATACAAAAGTTGGAATTTCCAGCTACTAAGACAACTAGGTTTTGAAAGCCCTTTGTGCTGAAAGAAGTCTGCAGAGTATTGAACCCCGCATTCTGTGTGCTGTGTCCCCTTGAGTCATTTGGTTACTTCTAAGCTGTGTGCGCACAAGATGAAACACATAGAAACCCAGCAGAGTACAGTTGCTAAGAGGCTAAAAAGCTAAGCTGTAGATATTTTGATAACTTGACAATGCTGAGTTAAAAATGGAATTCAGGCTTGCCAAGAAGACCAGATTTTCACTTGAGACTCCTAAATGGCTATCCCCTAGGAACAAAGACAAAACAATGGAAAAAGAAGTAACATCTGCTAACTCATTTTATGTGGCTAGCACAACCTTGAAATCAAAACCTATTAAAATATTACAAAAAAAATAAAAACCAATTTCTTATGTAGTCTCAAAAACCTTCAACAAAATATTAGCAAATCAAACACATCATGACCAAGTGGAGTTTATTCTAGGAAAACATGGTTGATTTAATATTAAAAATTCAATCCTAATATACACAGTAAAAGAATATGATAAAAGCACATGATTGTCTCAACAAATGCAGAAAAAGCATTTGATAAAATTCAACACCCATTCATACTGAAATCTCTTAGGAGCTGGAAATAGAAATTTTCTTAAGCAGTTAATGGATATTCCTAAAAACTTACGGCTAATTACTAACTAGAGAGATAGTAGATGCCTTTCTTCCCAAAGTCAGGAATAAGAAAAGGATGTTCAGCATCATCACTTTCCTTCAGTATCATACAGGAAGGCTTACAGTGCAATAGAACAAACAAAAAAATGAGTTATAAGATTTTGAAAATTTTAAAATTTCATTATTTGGAGATGATGTGATTACATGTACGTGAAAAATCCAAAATGATCTATAAACAAGCTATCAAGCTTTTGTTGTTTTTC